GGGCAGGAAAACCACCCAGGAGACTCTGCCGGCAGCATGCCCATAGATTATTCCAAATAAATGGCGATATTTAACTCCAGAGGTGTCTTGGTTCGGGAGGGGAAGGGATGGGAAGGGATGGGATGGGATGCGAATGTGATGGGGCGGACTCTTTCCCCCCAGTCGCCACGCCACCGAGGCACGGTGATGCAGAATGCTGGCTGGTTGCCGTGGTAACTGCGAGGCCTGGAGGGCTAGGAGGGGTCCGTTGGCTTCTTCCCTGGCTTCGTGGTCGGAGCGTCCCCCGCATGCCCGTGGCCATACTTCCTCGTCGTCATGGTGTTCGACCACTTCCACGTCCTGAACGTGCTGGGGATGCTGCTCCTCGTGCAGCTCAGTGCCGGAGAGCCCTGCGGGCCGCCAGCCGCTCCCCCGCCGCCCACGTCCTCCCTCCCCTCAAGGGCATCAAGGCAAGGCTGCGCCGCACGCAGCGGGTGCAGCTGGTGCCGTGTAGGGTCCACGGGGCGCGCACCCTCAGCCTCAAGCCGCTGTTCTTCGGTGAGTACCGGCCCCTCAGCGGTGGGCACCGGGCACGCCGGGGGCGGGCGGATCAGCCCCTCTCCTCTTTCCCCTACTGTGTCAGCGCGGCCGTCATCCGGTGTCGGGGCAGCGGGAGCGGTGCCCGCTGGTCCCAGCTGGCAGCGACCGCCAGGGATGGGGATTCCGAGGAGGCGAGATTGAGGTTTTCCACCTTTTCTGTCTTTGCATGCAGGAGGAGGGCCAGACAGCTGTGTAATGTTTCTCCCCCCTTCCCTTATCACAACTGCAAGTAGGTGCTGTTGTGCAGAGATTGGGGCTCACCTCCAGTTCCCAAGCAAAGCTGCTGTTGCCCACGAAAGCAGAAGTTCCAATGGCTGATGTCTCATCCCTGCTCTGCTCTTTCTCAAGGCTCTTGTGACATCTCGATATCCCAGTTACTGGGGACCCAAACTGACTTGCTGATGTTGAAAAATGGTTTTCCCTGTTATGCAGAAGCTTCTCAGCCACTCTTAAGTTGCCTTCCTCTTGGCTCGAGAACAGCTGTTTCTTTTACCTGCTAGGGATGCTCATCAACTCTCGTGCAGCAAGCTGAAGAGACAGCCTGAGTTTAGATCTTGAGACTCTCCGAGGACAGGACGATGATTTCACCATTTCCCTGCCAAATGCTGACACCTAAAATCCTTGGGGTCTGCTGTAAAAGCTGCATTCATTTGCTATCCACGTCATTAACTGGCTGCTGAAGGGAATGGAAGCAACTGGAAGGAAGGTGGAGGCAGGGGACTCACCAAAATCATTGGCACGGAGGTTTTCCAGGATCTCCCTGGCACTGCTGGCTTCCTCAAGCTCACAGTCCTTGCAGCTGGCTCGCGGTACTGCTGCAACAGAAATCTGGTTAGAACACCCTTGTCAAGCATCGTTGGAAAGGGCGTAATGATACTTGGGCATCTGCAAGTGGTGGCTGCCCAGTCCCTGCAGGGACATCTCAGATTGCCAGGGTGGGAAATGTCAAGTTCTCCTTTCTGTGTCTGGGGCAGATGCTGCTTGTCATGCTTTTGTTTATGCTTGTGTGTGTTGCTGCATGATAAAGCAGCAATGAAAATGCTTGGTAAAGATCTCCTAGTGTGGGTGAAACAGTAAAACAACTGGTATGGCCTGACTCCATCCAGTGATGCTGAAACGAGGCGCCTGTCCTCTCAACTTCTCTTGGATCAACCCCAGTATTCACCAGTATGTGGGTGTTTAATTCAGTCTTTTAAAGATTCTTTTTCAGATGTAACTCATGTCTGCAGAGGCTCGTGCCCCTTAGTGGTATTTCCTAATGTTTAAAGACAAGGCTTGCAAAATATTTCTCCTTTTGCATGCTTTTAAACCCTGGACACAGCTGAAAGATGAAGGCTGCAGCTCTGGCGCTCTGCTGGAAGCACATCTCATCGCCTGGAGCCTGCATGCCAGGAAGCTCTCACGCTGTGCCTGGCTGTTAGGCTTTTGACAGCAATTTCTTCCCCTTGTCCCAAAGTCTACATGGCCTGATGGCACCCAGGGAGCTAATGAATACAGCAGAGAGGGGAACAAGCTGCAGTCAATGTTACGCTAATTTTCTCAACGCAGTGGCACTCCCACAGAGATCTAAACTGGAATTCATGACTTCTTTAAACCCAGTTTAAACCCAGAAATACTGGGAATAGAAATAAGGTGCAGGCTGATCCACTGAGCTTTCAGTGCTGCCTATGGGAAAACTTACTTCTCCTACTGGAGGAATTTTCATCCATGGTCACTGCTGCGACGCACAGCTCGTGATCAGCTTGGAACTTGTTGCAGTTGAGGATTTCAGGCCAGGGGTACCTGTAACAAGGTACAGCACAGGCTGCGGCAGGGGTAGATGAACCTGGGGGGGGGAGATGGGGATTGCAGCATCTCTGGGCTGCTCCTGGCAGCAGGCTGCGGGGTTTGCTGCTGCCCAGGGCTGTGCCAGTGGGTACCAGCAGCTACTGTGGTGTGTGAGAGGGGTGGCTGGGGGAGACAACAGCAGTTTCTGGGGTGGGAGAGTAGGAAAACCCACAGCAGGGAACGCAATATTCCTGCTCCTGAGAGATGGAATGTTCATGTTTCAGAGGGATGCTCCCTGCTAGGAAATCCAATTGCTCCTTGCTAAGAGGGACAGCACAGCTTCTTGGGAACAGCACTGGTCACACTGCTTCCACGCTCTCAGGAGGTAAATGCAGTTGAGCTCTTGGGGATTTTTACTGACTACAGTGGGAATAACTTGTAAAAACATCTTACCTGTCCAAGCAGATTGGTGCAAAGAGGGAGCAGAGGAAGATCCTAGCTTCTAGGTGGCACTCCCGGGCCAGCAAGGGCAGCCAGCTGGAGGACTGCTGGATCACTTCTTGCATGGTCTCATGCTCCAGCAGGTTAGGGATCCTCATCTCGGAGTAGCCGATACCATAGCATAAAGCCAGGGAGGGTGGGATGGGTATGCAGCTGGAGGATCTCCTCAAGTAGTTCACCCAGGCCCCTGGAGAGCCCCAGAGCAGCAGGTACACCAGGACACCCAGCCTCAAGGGGTGCCTGTGGTGGACTGTGACCATACTGAGAGTGAGAAGACAGGCAGCACACCCTGCTCTGAGCTGCCTCCGACTGTGGGATGCCTTTTATAGTCTAGGAGCCACCTTTCTGTCAGTCTGTCATCATCAAGTGCGGCCCTGTCAGAGCCCTCATGGGGAAGACGATGCTCCAGTTTTCATTTGCCAGCCACCCTGACTGTTTGGATTTTAGCAGGGGTTTGGCTTATATCAGCAGGTGTGGAAATGAGGACAGCTGGGGAGGGATGAATGATGTGGCCCATGTGTCTTGGGGCTCTTTCAGCCAAGACTGAATCTGTTTGACACCAGTGCTCCAACCCTTCCCTTTCTCTAGCTCCAGGATTAGTCATTGTTTCATAAGGCCCAATATTTTCCTTCTGGGACAATACCAGCCCCATCGTGGATGCAGTGGGTGCTCTACACCAAGCAAGAGAGAGAAGATGCAGCCCCAGGGTGAGTGCAGCAGCCGGTGGCTCTGCGCTGCCACGCATGGAGACCACACTCCTGACTGACCCGGTTACCCCAGCGCTGGGAGCCCTGCTGCTCACTGTGGTGGCCCATAGCCACAGCATGAACAGCCTCCACCCCTGTGAGACACTGCAGGGACGGTACCTGGTGGCCAGCAGCAGTGACAACGGCTCCATCCACGGCTTCCTGCTGGAGGTGACCTTAGATGGCGATAATCCCACAGCGGGACCCACCTACATGTCCTGGAGCAGAGGGCCCACATTGCCCATGTGATGGGGACCTGGGTGCTGCAGCTGGACCTGCTGCTCTCCACCTTGGTGGACCAGCACCGTGGCAGCATGGCTGGGGTGGGCTGGACAAGCTCAGCACAACCTTCTTCCCTGTGCCCGACCCGGCCGAGCTGGACTGCTGGGAGGTGATGGAGGCTGGTGGGGAGCGGTGGCTCTGTTGTGCGCTCTTGTGGGCAGGCACTGGAGATGCTGAGTGGCACAATTCCCCCTGAACCCCCTCCATCAGAACCTCCCCAGTAGTAGGGCAAGTGTGGCCCAATCAGTTCCCTGCACTGGTGCTGTGCACATCACTGCAGCCTCTGTCCCTGCCTCCATGCTGATGCGTCCTCTCCTGAGGGGACAGGTTTGCTTGGCTCCTTGGGGACAGTGCAGCCACATCTGGGGGACTCAAGGCTGGTGGTTTCAAGGGCAAAAGGAGAGGTAACCTCTCCTGGACAAGCTGCAGCTCCCCAGGTAATAATAAAGGAGGAGTGGGGTCATCAACCTGCCCTGCCCAGGAGTTCCTCCTCCCTAAAATATGAAGAACCAATGTCCAAGCTTTCCAGCCCTAATTCCATAGAGGAACATGCTCAGTAGGGTGCTGAGCCCTTGGATCTTGAGAGCAGCAGGAGGTCAAGACCAGGCAATGGTGCAGCACATGGCAGGCTGCAGCTCATGCTCTCTGAGACAGGGCCCTGTGGGACAGCCCTGACCCTTCAGGGCTGGTGCCTGTAGTGACACAAGTAGGATCCCTGATCCTTTGCAGCCCCACATGGGACATAGTGCTCTATTAGCCAGACATGCACACACACACCCACACATTTGGGATCAATAATATGTATTTGGGTTAGCGATTAACCTCGCCTAGGGCTCAGAATAACTGTGAGCCTCAGGAGCTCCCTGCCAGCATGAGGACCTTCAGGAAACAGTGGGGTGAAGCACAGTTGGTGTCTGACCTTGAGTGTGCCTTGTCCCCTGGGGCTGCTTCTCCCAGAATGCCCCAGTCTGGCCTGCGTGGCACCCCAAGATCTCCCTCCGCCGGCTGCACATGGCACTTGGGCCCATGTAGCCAAACCCCCAAACTGCAGGGGCTGAGGCATAGCTGCGTGTTCCTGTCCCACAGGAGGGCAGCCCCTCACTCTGCCAGGGAGAACGTTCCCAGTGGTGGGGTGTACCGATACCTGTCACACTGTGATGTGGCTTCCGAGGGGTGGCTCAGATCTGGCTGAGCGGTGGGAGGTGTAGCGTACCCAGCGTGCTGTGGAACACGTCCCGCACCGCTGCCAGCAGCTGCAGACGGGCAAACATCTGCTCAAGGAGGTGAGGGAACGGCTCCTGCAGGGACAAAGACAGGGACTTGGGGCTGGTGGCTGTATGGCTCCTCAACATGCTGGCCCTGGAGGCACTGCTGCCTTTGCACCCTTGAAGGGCTGGTGCAGGGCTGCATCGTGCTGTGGGCACCCTAATCCCTGTTCCCCACGGCTGCAATGCAGCTCCAGGAAGGACTGCAGGGCTGGGACACCCAACTCACTCCCAGGACGTGCACCCGGTTGTAGTAGGAGCTGAAATCCATGCTGAGCTGGATCAGGAACTTGCACACCTGCAAGCAAGACAGAGCTTCTGCTGGTATACTGGGGTCTAGCCAGTCGTAGGCCCTTCCCCACCCCAAGCACAGCAGAAGCAACCCCAGCGGTTCTGCAGTCTCTCCCCTTAGCATTATCCCTGTGTCACTGGTGAGCAGAACCCTGCCAGCATTTAGCCTTGCCCTGGGCTGGTGGGACTGTTGGAGCAGCACCCATGGGTGCTATGGCATGTGCACTTACTGCTTCTGTGTTGGCTGTGATCCGGATGCCTTTGGTGGGTGCAGGCAGCTGTGCTGCCTGCTGCAGGACTTCAGGGAAGGGCAGGAGGTAGTTGAAGAGCAGGAGCCATTCGCCCTGTGAAAGGATTGTGTCAGAGAGGGCTGGATACTCGCAGCCAGCAGCATCACCAGAGCTGGTCTGCACATTCCCCTTCGCAGCACTCACCTCTTCCCGGAGGCAGGAGAAGTTCAGCTCAGAGGGTGGTGGCAGAGGTGGGTACGTGCCTGGGAAGAAGGCGGGGAGCTGCTGTTGTGCCTGGAGGAGCCACGTGCCTCCAGGCGTGAAGAACAGCCCCGCAGTGGCTGTGAGGGCTGCAAGTGATGCTCACCCTGCTCCACAGCTCGCTGGAAGGTGTCGAAGAGCGTGGCCAGCCGGGCACAGTTGTACATCACGAAGGCGCCGCTCCTGGTTCCCTTGGTGGAGATGCTGCTGTCCTGAAGGTCCAGCGTGATCTGAGGGCAGAGCCAAGTCATAGTCCAGGCTGCACCTCTGCTTTGTGCAAGTGACGGGTTGTCTCTACGCAAACCGCCATCCTACCTGACTGCGGTGAGCAGTGCTGAGCATCTCGAACCTGATGGCAGCCGCTGTGAGAGTATTGATCACCTCAGTCCAGGCCTCATCTGTGGAGAACGCAGATGGCATCAGCACAGCTCACTCCATTCCCTTGTACCACCACACACAGCACCTAGGCAGGACCCCCTCTCCCAGGGCTAGGAAGCACCAGGGGAAGCTGGGTATCACCATACCAGCCCTGGCCCCCATCTGCAAGTGCTGCTCTGTGCTGTGGCAGGTTACACACCTTCCCCCAGGCACCACCAGCACTGGGTCCATCACGAAGGGGAGAGGGAACACTCACAGGAGCAGTAGAGATGGGGGTGGAGCAGTACCTGTGTTTAGAGCTGGAGTGCTCACCTTGTGCAAGCTCCCCATACTTCATCACAGAGGCTTTGTACATCTGGCGCTTTCGGAGCCTGGGAGGAAGAGAGACAGACACAGCTCACTCCAGGGTGGGTACCACCCTGCCCCACTGCGGCACCCAGCTCCTGCTGCTGCCTTTCCTACAGGCAGCACTGAGAGGGACAGAAGCAGCACTGCTGGAGGAGGACACTGGGACTGGGGCTGAGCACCTTCAGTCCTCTGAGACCACAAGAAGCAGACTAGAGGGACTGCACAGAACTCTCTGTGCTCACCAGCTTGCTCAGTGTGGCTGCCTGTGTGCCCACAGGGCCAGGCAAGAGCACAGGCAGCCTCAGCAGGTGAGCAGTACAGCAGACACCTTGCTACACACTGACTTACTGGAGGTACTGGTCTGCTCCAATGGGTGATGAGGGGTTTGTCACCTTCACTGGCCCACAGACGAGGTATTTCTGAAAGAGAGAGGCCAGGGCAGCAGTCAAGAGACTCCGAAGCTCCACAAAATGCAGTGCTGCCCTGGGCTAAAGCCAGCGCTGCTCCAGCTCTGTCAGCATCATAACTCTATATATTTTCACTGCAACAAACAAACAAAACTATGTGCCTGTAATTTAAAAGCACTCTCTAGAAGGCTGATGAAACTGAATTTTTCGTTACTGCGTGCCCTCTGATCTCGTATGTCAGTTGAGTGCTTATTCAGACAGCACAAACCACTGCAGAGAGTGCACTTCCTAGCCTTAATATGGGAGGAGTAATTTCCTGTAGTTCATAGGCTTTTATTATTGTGCATAAATGTTAGAAAGAATAATTAGTAATCAATTTTATGTATTTGAATGTTGGCAACTGGTGTTTTTTTCAGTCATTTTCTCATCTGTATTTTAGTGTCCAGTGTCATGCTTACTCATTAGAAACTTCAAAAGAATTATTAAAGTTTAAAAAAAGCACGAACAAAAACTTCTGCCATAGTTGGACTGGAAGGGACCTCAAAGCTCCTCTACTGCAGGCTCTGAAGGAGAGGCCAGCTGAGCACGGGGACGCTGAGGGTGCCAGTGAGGAGGTGGGAAGTTCCTCACCTGTAAAGCTGTGTGAGGTCCTGGATCCAGAATCCTCCAGAGCAGATCCAGCTGCTGCTGCTGGAATTCCTCCTCGCAGCTCACCACATGCACAATGCTGCAGCAACTCCCCTGGCCTCCAGCCTGTAGCAGAGCACAGCGGGGACCTCACATACTGTTGTTGCATGACAAGAAGGGAAGGATGCCTGGCAAGCAAGGGGCCTGCAGAGCTGAAGGGATACTCACTGTGCATTGCAGAGCAGCTTGCTGCAGCTCAGCCACAGACCGCAGCTTCCCCTCCGTCACTGCAAGAAGGAAGAACACTCAGAGTGGGACACGAGGGGTCATCCCATCCCAACATCCTGCACCACTGTCTCAACCCAAATCAAAGGGGAGGAAGAGGGAATTTCGACTAAACCCCTCTTATTTTCTACAAAAACTACTGAAAACAAGGGATCAAGCCTGTTCATAGCCCTTCACCCCTCACTGTCACACTGAGCTGCTGTACCGAAGCTTACCCAGAAGCACATCCAGATTGGGATCGTACCCCACCAGGCCCTGCTGCTCCACAAAGCCTTTTAGCTGCACCTTACAGATGACATCCGCGGGCAGCGCGGCTGCGCCCGGCCCCTGCCCGCAGCCTGCGGCACAAGGCACCCGGGCCAGCCCTCGCTTCAACGCCGAGACAGCATCAGAGAGGCCGGGGTCGGCGGGGCCGGCGGGCCAGTCAATGCGGAGCTGCCGCAGCACGTCCTGGCGCCCCTCCTCCGGGAGCGCGGGGACCAGGCGGACGTGGACCCTGCGGGAGAGGCACAGGCGGCCGCTGGCAGCGCGGGGCCGTGACGCGGGGTGGTGCGGGGCGAGGGGCAGGCACTCACCCCTGTGCGCGCAGCAGCTGCGCTAGGTGGTCGGCCAGCAGCAGAGGGCGGAGGTGTCGCGGCCGTGGGGCGCCGGGGCCGCGCAGGGCCGGGCAGTGCAGCACCACGGACGGGGACGGGGCCGGGGCCGGGGCCGGGGCAGGCGCGGAGCACAGCACCAGCAGCCGCCGGAAAGCCTCGGGCCGCTGCAACCGCACCTCCAACCCCGCCGGCGTCTGCTGCGCGCTGCTCACTGCCAACACGCCCGCGCCGCACAGCGACGTCACGAGCTCCACGACGTCCGCCGGCACCTATTGGGCCACGGGGCGGCGCGTCATCCCTCCGCTCGCATGTGACCACACCCCCCGCCGCCCCCCCCCCCCCGACGCCGCGTACCTGCCCGCCCGGGAAGGCGGCTCGGAGCGCGGCCCGCGGCGCCAGGAAGTCGCGGTGCCGCAGGTTGCGGGAGCTGCTCTCCTTCACCCACAGCGCGCCGGGGCGTCCCAGCGCTTCGTTCAGCGCCCGCAGCGTCGCCGCCACCCCCGGCCGGACCTCGCCCGACTCCATTGCAAACCGGGGCTGTACTTCTGCCGGAAGTACCTCTTGTTCGGCCGGAAGTGGCGTCACCGCCCCGCTCAGCCCCTCCGTGGCTGTCACTGGCGGCCGCCATGTTGAGCGCGGCGTGCGGCGCTGCCGAGCCGCCATCTTGGGTGCGGGTGGGTTGGACTCAGCACGGCGGCCATCTTGGGAGTAGCGAGCGCTGGGGGCCGCCATGATGAGTGCGGCTGGCAGCGCAGCGCCGCCATGATGTGTGTGGCGCGCAGCGGAGCACCGCACAGCCCCGGCACTGCTTCACCGCAGCACGGCCCGAGGCGGCTCCTGAGGGGAGGCCACTGAGGGCCCACCGGCACGGCCGATCACAGGGCTGGGGACGAGGAACTGCTCCTCGGCCTCCTCAGGGCGGCTCCTGCCCGTCCCCAGGCGCTGAGGGAGCCACAGGTGGGCAGGTAGCTCTGGATGGACCAAGGGTGTGAGGCACATCCAGGCCCCCGGTTCAGCCTCGCCACCCGTGAGCCCCGCAGGGGTGTGAGAGGGTGGTTGAGGAGCACCAGCACTCGGTGTAGTTCGATGCCGCAGCCAGGCTCTGCGCAGTGAGGATGAGCAGCTATGGGAGCATGGAGCTGCCCTCCCACCCCGCACATTAGCAAAAGTCATCAGCCCCAGCAGGAAGGAGGTGGAACCGATTAGATCGCTCCATTGCGGTCTTGATGACATCTGCAGAGCTGTGCGCCCACACTGCTGCCCAGCTCCGTGCACAGCGCACCCACAGCGGGGCTGTACCCCCCTATGGGGCTGCAGTCGAAGCCAGCTCTGGCCCGGGCACATGGACAGTGGCCCTGGCAGAGCCCCAGCCCCAGGTCACCGGTGGGGAGCGGGTATCCAGGAAGCACTGAACCCGCTGTGGCCGCAGCAGGGATCTCGTGTCCCGGGGACCTCCCTCCTGCCCTTCCTTTCCTGCCCTCCCCATGAGCATGGGGGGGCCGCTCTGCCCACAGGGCCCAAACCGGTTCCTCCAGGGCTCGTGTGCCCATGGGGGGGGCCATGGCGAGGGCAGATCCTGGCTCTGTTGGGAACACAGCAACAGCTCGTTATGGGGCACGGCCGTGTCCCCCCCGGTGGGGCCGTGCCATGGCGGGGTGCTCCCTGCACCACCCACAGCCAAGAGGTGATCTGAGAATCGCTGCTCACACCAGACCAACTGCTGACTGTCCGCAGGGCAGGAGCCACCCGGGACCCCTGCCCGGCCGGGGGGGATGCACTGGGAGCACGGTCAGACCTTGTGTTACCGTTCAGGCAAGAGCCGGGGGTCCCATGGGCAGCACACATAAAGCCCAGCAGCTCCACGGGGGGCTCTCGGAGGTGCCGAAAGAGCTTTGGACAGACACGACATCCCCGATGGCTCTGGCTGCCCGCTCAGCGGGAGTGATCGTGTCATTCCAAAGCCGTCTCTCTCCGGGGGACATCCCTGCCGGGAGCCAGGGGGGGTGGCAGCACCTCACGGGTGGCCACATCACACTGTGGGTTAGTCCCTAGGAAGCAAGCTGCTGTATTTAGCTATTAGGGGTATAGGACCACCAGAGACACTGGTGATCCCGGTGTCCCATAGAGGGGTTGGAGTGGGGCAAGCGGCTCTGGCACGGGGCAGCAGGCTGCGGGGCGAGGCAGGGGCGGCAGCGCTGGTAACGAAACCCCAGGGCAGCTGGGCACAGCGGGGACAGCTGCTTTTGGGATTCCGTTGCCCGCGCCAGCGCCACAAAGAGACGCATACGGGGGCCACAACCACGGCACCCTGACAGCGGGTCAAGGAGGGGAGAGAAGGCGACTTACCGCCGGGAACCGGAGCTGCACGGCAGCCGCAGCCAGGCCGGTTGTGGCTGTGGGCTGTGCCTCGGGCCGGGTGCCAAGGGGAGGGCGGCACGGCCGAGCCAAAAGGAAACTGCTCGGAACAAAGCTCCGGTGGGGCCGGAGCATCTGGTGCCAGCCCAGCGAACACCCCGCCGGGGCCCGGAAACACGAGATGGCCCCGAGGGAGGGCAGCGGCACCTGCGCGGCCCTCGGACACCCGCCACGGGGAAGTGAAACCGTGTGGGGAACCCCGCGGCTCCACGTGGTGCTCACAACCGAAGCGCTGCCCTTGCCCGGCCATGGGGTGGGGGGCTCCCCGATGCCTCCCCACCGCGGAGGCGGGAACGGTCCCATCGCCGACGCCGGGAGCTTCGCGGTGCTCGCCGCGGTGCGGCGGCTCCGGCTGGTCCCGGTGGGTGGCGCAGGGTGCGGGACGGGGCTCTCAGCCCCGGGGCAGCTCCCGGAGCCCGCGGTGCCGCACTGAGCGCAGCACGGAGGAAGCGGGACCGGCAGCCTGCGGAGCTGGGGCAGCGGCGGCTCGGGGGGGGAGTTTGTGCCGAGCCCCGGTCCCGCTCCCTCCCGCCGCCCAGGCCCGGCCGCTCCGCGGGGTGTCGGGGTCCCGGCACCGGGAGCCGCGCCGCTCCCCTCTCACCTCCGGTACAGCAGCCCGGCACAGTCCGCGGCCCTCCGGCCGCCAGCAAGCGGGACCCCCCGCGGTGCCCCCGCTACCCGCCCCGCCGCCGCTTTCGGTTTCGCTCCGCCGCCGCCCCCCGAGCGCACCACGGGGCGGTCCCGGTCCCGGGGGAGGGCGATGTTGGGGTGCTTGTGTGTCCCTCCCCCGGCGGGAGGGGGTGGCAGCCTCGGGGGGGTGGCCCCGGCCCCGCTCCCGCCCCCGGTGCCGCTGTCGCTGTCCCAGCCCAGCCAGCGCGGCCGGCGGCGGCCGCCAGGGGGCGCGCCGAGGAGGCGGGACCGCTGCTCGCGGTTCCGGTGGCGGTGCGGCCATGGCGGTGGCGGCGGCGGTAGCGGCGCGGCGGCTGCTGGGCCCCGCGGGGCGCCTGGCGGCGGGCGGGTACGGGACAGGGAGCGGCACCGGCACCGGGGCCATGGCGGCATCCCCAGGGCTGGGCCGCGGCATCGCGGTGGGGCCCCAGCGGCGCTGGACGCGGGGCTGCCGGAGGGTGACTGAGGGGTGACCCTGGGGCGTCTGTGGGGCTGGTCAGGGGTCGCACGTACCGGAGCCACCCGCCGTCCCCACAGGGTGCCGCACCGGGCTCACCGCCTCATCCCGTCGGACGATGAGATGTACCAGCGCACTCGTCTGACGGTGCTGGAGCGGGAGTCCCCCAACATCATGTTCATCGAGGGCTACAGCAGCCGCGGCTTCACCATCAACGGGGACGTGGTGGTGGGGCCCTGCGCCGTCCTGCCCCGCACCATCCTCCAGTGGAACGTGAGTGCGCGGCGGAGGGGCCGGGGCTGCGGGTGAGCGCCCCGGGCTCTGCCCCGCTCAGTGCTCGCCGCGTCCCCGCAGGTCGGCTCCTACAGGGACATCTCGCACGAGAGCCTGTCGCTGTTCCGGCTGCTGGAGCCCCATATCGGTACGTGGGGTGGCCGGCCCAGCCGCAGGGCCCTGACCGTGCTTTGGGTGATGGAGCTGCGCTTTCAGAGCCTTCTGCTCCGCAGCAGCGGCAGGAGGCACGCAGCGAAACGCGCTTCCCCCTCGTTTGTACCCTGTGGGAGCTGTTGGTCCCTGTGGGAATGGCAGGTCTGAGGCAGCCGGAGCGCAGCCCATTGCCGGTGGCCGTGTCCTGTTTGCAGAGATCCTGGTGCTGGGCACAGGAGACAGGGTGGAGCGGCTGCATCCAGCCATGCTGAAGCAGATGCGGGAGTGCGGGATCGCCGTGGAGGTGCAGGACACGGTAAGGAGGGTGCATGCGGAGCAGCACAGCGGGGGGGGGGGTGGTGGCCATGGGGACAAGGCAGGAGGTCGTGCACCTTGTGTGGAAGGGCTCCGTCTCCTGCCCGAGGGCTGCAGCTTTGCTCCCTTTCGATTTCACAGCCAAACGCCTGCGCAACCTTCAACTTCCTCACGAGTGAGAAGCGCATGGTGGCTGCGGGGCTCATCCCCCCGCGCACCACCTCCACGGGCGCATCAGGCGCTGCCTACGCGGTTCTGCCCCCTGCCTGAAGCCCCCTGAGCACCGCTGGAGAAACATCGGAGCTGCAGGTGGCTGCACACAGGAGCCTTGTGGAGTGCGTGGACTTGGCTCTGCCCTAAACCCCGGTTTCTCGCCCTCCTTGCCCAGCCTGGAGCATGGCACAAGGTATGAGCATTGCTGGCAGCAGAGCACGCAGAGCCCTGCTGTGCCCCGTGCCTTGGCATCGAGAACCCGCTGCCCCAGGGCAGAGTGGAGGTGCTGGGGTGAGCTGCACGCTCTGGGGCACATTTGGGGCTCCACGAGGAAAATACACGTTAACTGGGTGCACAAAGCAATCGCGTGGTGGTTCATGCGCTGTGGGATGGCTGCCTGGGCAGTGTGTGGCAACCAGGGCACGGCCAACACTGGTCACATACGGCTACCTCTGCAGGAAGGGGAAAGGCTGCAGCCCCCAGCCCTGGATCAGGCCACGGCAGGGTTCTGCCTGATGAGTGAGCTGTGCTAGCAAACGTTTGACAGGATTATGTTATAACTGAAGGCTCTGGTTTTAGCAGGTGTGAACCTAATTTGGCATCACTGTGCTGAGGAGTGATTGCTTTCAGTCAGCAACTTAAGAGACACAAAACATTGATCGTGAACAGGCGTTCTTCAGCTGGAGTGATGTTTGCATGTGTTTATATATAACACATATATATGGGGGGTGTTTCCTGAATAACATTGCTAGTAATAATAACTATTATAGGGATGTGGGGACAGTGTGGAATGCTTAGGGGGAAGAAACAAAGGGAGGAAGAAAGGTGGATTGGTGAAGACCAAGCATGTGAAAATACAGATCTAAGGGCCTGCTGCGTGTAAGTGGCTGCAGCAAGTGTGGGGACGTGAACACATGCATACACAAGCACTGATGTGCCCATCACTGCAGCAGCTGCCCAGGGCACAGGGGCTGCAGCAGCCTGTTGCTGCCAGCCCTGTAAAACCCATTTGCTCTCTTGCCCAACAGCCATTTGTGTTCTGCTCTCAGGAAGGGTTTTTTAAGCACCCTGCACTGCATTATCCACTGAGCACCATCCCCTCCTCAATCCCCCCTCACAGACCCTGTCCCTTCTGGGGGCTCCTGAGGATGCAGGAAGCGAAGGAGAGCACCAAGGGAGGAGGGGGCAGCACAGAAGGGAGAGGGGCTCGGGGCTGACACCCACTGCACAGCTTTTTCTCTTTTATTGTAAAACACGGCCAACCCGTGCAGGGCTCCAGGCCCAGCCCGGGGTCACAGCTCCCGGGCAGGGGCCAGGCCCTCCGGGGGGGATGAAGCAGCCAAAGGGATGTGGGGAGCTCCCGGCACCCGCAGAGCTCTGGTGCTGCTGCAGCAGGAGCAGCTCCCTCGGGGGGGGCGCAGGGCTGAGCGGCTCGATGACGGGTACAGACCTTCAGAACAGGCGCTTCTCGTACCTGCGAGGGGAGCAGCAAAGCAGAGCCCTTTCACTGACCCACCTCACCCAGGGCAAGGACAGAGCACAGCCGGGAACGGCTCCTGGCCTGAGTGCCCATGGAAGAGCCCTTGGCAGAAGCACTTACGAGTGGAGGCCGTGCACCCCTCCTTCCACCTGCGCGGACGTCGTCCTCTTCTCAAACTTCAGCTCTCCCGAGTACATCATGGCTCTGAGGGGAAGGACACTGATCACACAGCAGCCAGAGCCCAGGGAACACAGTGCCCTGGCACACGTTCAGCTGGAGTGGCTGCGATGAGAGACACTGGTTCTTCCTGTTGTAACCTGAACAGTGTTGGCTGTGCTAAGAACCAGGCAGGGTGAGGTAACCCCAACCTTTCCAGCCCAAGAGACCACGCTCCCGCATCCCTGGGGTTGGCAAAGCCATGACACCATGACCTAACCAGAGCACAGCGAGGGGAAGCACTCACCGGACTTGGGTTAGGCTCTTGGCACCAATATCCTGGCAGGAATGCTGGATCCCAGCAATCAGGTATGGAATGAATTTGTGGATAGAGCCCTTGTCCTGCACTGCACCGGAGACCCCCTGGGCCACTTTGATTTTGTCTGTCTCACTGGATGGGAGCACAAATCAACAAGTCTGTGAAATGGAAAAGCCCCAAAAGCTCTATCTGCTGCCCCAAAGCACCATCTCTTACCTGAAATACCGGTTCTGGCTGCCCAGGTTCTTGTCCATGGCATCTAGTGAGCCCATGCCACGGTATTTCTTCAGCCTAATTCCATCTGAGAAGAAGTACTCGCCTGGGGCCTCCGTGGTGGCAGCCAGGAGGGAGCCCATCATCACTGCACAAGAGAGCACCAAGAGCAGGGTGTCAGCAGCAGGCAGGCTGTAACCACAAAACCCCTGGGTCCCTTGGCACAGGACCCTGATAGACCCCTTATGCCCTGAGCCACCTGCAGGTATTTGTCCTCATGCCCAGAATCCTATGCCGTATGGAGACTTGTCCTAGGAGACTCCCGGCAATGTGCATGGAATCATAGAGTAGAATCCTACAACAGTTTGTGCTGGAAAGAGCCTTAAAGCTCCTCCAGTTCCAACCCCTGCCACAGGCAGGGACCCCTTCCACTGGAGCAGCTTGCTCCAAGCCCCTGTGTCCAACCTGGCCTTGAACACTGCCAGGGATGGGGCAGCCACAGCTTCTCTGGGCACCCTGTGCCAGCGCCTCAGCACCCTCACAGGGAAGAGCTTCTGCCTAAGAGCTCAGCTCAGTCTCCCCTCTGGCAGGTTCAAGCCATTCCCCTTGGCCTGTCCCTACAGGCCCTTGTCCCAAGCCCCTCTCCAGGTTTCCTGCAGCCCCTTTAGGCACTGGAGCTGCTCTAAGGTCTCCCCTTCAGGAGCCTTCTCTTCTCCAGGCTGACCCAGCCCAGCTCTCTCAGCCTGGCTCCAGAGCAGAGCTGATCCAGCCCTTGCAGCAGCTCCGTGCCCTCACTCCAACAGCTCCATGTCCCTCTCACTCAGCCATGGCCCCCGTGCCCGGTGCTCTGCTCACCCGTGGAGGCACCGAGCGCCAGAGCCTTTGCGATGTGCCCGACCGTCTGGATGCCGCCGTCCGCGATCACGGGGACACCGAACCTCCGGGCGTACTCGGACACCTTGTACACAGCCGTGGCCTGGGGACGGCCGCACGCCAGCACTGCGGGCAGAAGAGAGCAGGGACAGGGTCAGCTCTCGCCCCCCACCATGTCCCCTCCCCAGCAGGCCCGTCAGGCTCCCAGCACACGCATGCTCCAGCGCTCGGGAACGCACAAATCCCTGGATGCTCCTTCCCTAGGCTGAGTTGCAGGAGGCAGGGATGCCCAGGAGGTGCCTGCTGGGACATCCTCATGGCCCCTTCACTCCAAAACACTGTGGGTGATGTTGGGATTGGGGTCTTTGACCTAACGCCTGGGATCAGTCCCAGCTCATCCTGGTGCACAGCAGGCTTGTGGGAAGCTTGGGAAGGAAACGGAGCAGACTCCAAAAGCCCCTGTCCAGAGCATCCCTGGCACACGTCCCACCACTCACTCCCTCCAAGCAGTGCCAGATCCCATCTCCATGTACCCAGCACTGTATGAAGTGCTTCTTGCGTGGCAAGGCAGCTGGTTGGGAGAGAGCTGGTATGTATATATATGCATAGATATATATAGAGAGAGAGATATCTGCACGCACACACAAACACACATGCAGCAGTGGGAAAGGAAATGGGCAGGATGATTCCATGGCTTAGAGGAAATAATTTACGCTCCTGCTCTGCAGGGTAGCAGGATCCTGTCAGGTTCAGCTGCCCCACGGGAAAGGAGTTGTTAGCTGTGGATTTACCTGCTTTTCCCAGTCAGCACCAGTTAAGAGGCTTCCCGTTACACAGGGGAAAACCAGCACAGGGCACGTGTTTGTCAACCACAGGCATGCAACAACGCTGAGAGGAGCTTCTCTCCGGGTGACTTCCCTTCCCTGCAGTTAACTGGAAGCCTTTTCTCTGGTCATGGTTAGTCCAGTACGGCAAGTAAGGTTATGGCCATGCAGGATTAGTGAGCTTCAGGAGTGCTTTAGCCTGCCTGGCACCACAACACCCTGGCACAGGCTTGCCAAGGCTGGAGTCTGTGGTTGCTCTGTTCCCAGTGCTCAGCAGCAGCTGCTGAGAGAGGGCAGCCAGAGTCCAGAGCATGAGAGAACTGAGTTTAATGGACCAAAACTCAGCCTTAAGCTAAGGCTCAGCCAGGCAGGGAGAGTCTGCCAGTGGCAACGGGGATGCTCTGAGCCTTAAAGAGATGGTCTCGCTCGGTACCGCACTGCTAAAGCTGCAAAATGCTGCAGGGGAAGAGCTCTGTGGAGAGAAGCACTTGGGTTTGGAGCATACGGAGTCCAGGGGCTATGGGCCTGTGCCACAAACAGTGCAGGGCCTGCAGGACCTCGCAGGAGCAACCATGGAGACCAGCCCTTTAAGGAGCAGCTTGGCTTGGGGCTGCTGGGAGCATTGCACCACTCCCAGCGCCCAGCACCACAGCTGGAGCACAGGCTTCCAAAGCAGGGTTCAGAGCACACACACGCTGGGAGAGGGCCTGTCCTCCTTAGGGTGTCTGCAAAGGGTGCCCTACAGGATCACCTGCTAGAGAAAACCTTCTGGGATCTTCAACAGAAACCCCCTTCCCTTTGAGGTGCATCAGAACAAGGTGTAAAGGGCAGAACCCAGGGCTTGGGTAGCATCAGAGAAGGACAGAGCAGACAATGCTGCACCCTGTGCTGGGCAGGGGGAGAGCTCTTTCTCTCCACACGTCTACTAGAGAAAAGATGGGGTTCAGGTACCCACCTGCTATGGTACCAGCCACAGTTCAGTCCCTCTGTAACCCCAGGGGACGAGCTTCAAGTGAAGCTGAGCCAGTAACTGGGGCCAGTTCTCGAGCAGGATCAGGACTGCTCAGGGCTCACCTCCCAGCACTGGATCAGCAGGGCCATGCCCAGCTACAGATACAGAAGGTGCAGTCAGAAAGCCCCTTCATGCTCCTGTCTTTATTTTGGAGACAGGCCTGAGTGGCCTCTGCTTTGCCACACCAGAGCCTGCTTTAGGAATTCA